TTTGCTACATAATGTGTAAGCTTCACCCACAAATGGTTGCTAGTAGTTATTGATGAAAGGGATAATATTGTTGTCTGTTTTACTGTATCTATTTTTATTGGTCAGTGACCAAAATAAATATGATGATGATGAATCTTGCTGCCCAAGAAATGTGAAGATGCTGTGGCTCCAGTCTTGGAACCACTATATGCTAAGCATAAAGTCCTGCTGAGGAATCTATAGATAAGTAATGTTTTGAATTATGACAGTGGGATTTTCTGTCAAACAGGAACATCATAAAAGATCTATACCGAAGGATACTTGGAACCTTCTTCTAGACTTCAGTGCAATGATAGCAGATGATATGTCAAATTATGATGAGGAAGGTAATGTTGCTTCTTGATGCTTTTGGAACACTTTTGTCCAAGCGCTACTTTCATTGGTCCTCTGAGGTTTTTTTTTTTTTTAATTGTGAGGAACCCAGGAGTAAATGAAAATCTGTTTGTCCAACATCTGAAAATAAAGTTGGTTGGTCATTGCCATAGAGACCATGAATTTAATCTCAGAGAGCAGTCTCTAGCAAGGAGGAGCTATAATACTTGGCTTTAAAATGAATGACACTCACTGGCATTTCCCTGCCATGGGGCTTTTCCTTATTTTAGCTAAACTAGCTTGCCAAACTAGCTACTGCTGAGTCATTAATCCTGCCACATTTCCCCTTCTGCAGCTCACCAAGTAATTGACTGGGCAAATGGGAACTAGTAGATGCACCATTTTAAAATTCTGTCATGCCTTTTCCTGGATACGTTTTTTCTCTGTGATTGCTTTCTGCAAGTTTCATAGATGCAGATGCTGGTGTTGACCTTAAAGGCCCCTTAAATCCCTTAACAGTTTAGGGCCTGACTCTTTGAGGGACCATCTCTCCAGCAATGAACCTTTCTGATTATGTAGATCAGTGGTTAAGTCTTAAAGTGTGGTCTGCGGTCTGTGAAATCAAAATTATTTGCCAGATATTGAAGATATTTGCAAAAATTTAAAACAATGTCACTCTTCTCATTATTATTTTTATTTGTTAAAAAATAGGTTTTTTCAGGAAAAATATTTTATTTATGTTAATATCTAATGGGTTTACTATTGTTATGTTTACATGATTCAATAAATAATCTATGAGTGTGTCTATTTTAATTTTTAATACGGTAAATATTGATAAATATAACCCATACAAACAAAAGCTGTTTTGGGGCCCTCTATAATTTTTAAAAAGGGAAGGGGTCCTGAGAGCAAAAAGTTTAAGAAACACTGACTTAGATCACTCCTTTTACAGATGCCCTTTAAAATCTGAATCTGTGTTACCTCGTATGCAGGATAGGGCCTTCTGTGTAGCTCCAAGACCGTGGAATACTCTCCCAAGGGGAGATGCATTTGACTCCTAATTTCCCAATATTTATTTATTTATTTTATTTATTAAACCAATTTATATAGCCACCCATCTCACCACAGATGACTCTGGGCGGCGTACAACAAAG